TAACCTTCAAAAGTCAGTTTATATGCATTGATATTATGATCTGTATTTTGTTCTTTTTTATTTTATTCAACACTTGCATTTTGTCTATTATAAACTGTCAAATGTAATTGTATCAAATCATATGACCGACCTTCTATATCAGGCTTAGGGGTTGGACATGTGTTGTTTCTTTATACAACAACTGACAAGTCAGTTAGTCATTACCAATCCATTCTGAGATTTTACTCTCGAGCACATGGTTTCAGTCATGTGTGGTACTTTGTTGTCATTTTCTTGTCAGATAAACAGCAGTGGGGGTCAGTCTGAGCTGGTACTTTATACTGTACCCAGCCAAATAAGATTCAGACCAGAACAAACAAAGGGAAGCTGCATATTGCTCAAGTGTGTGTGTGTGTGTTCTTATACTACTGCAGTAATATACAAAAGTATATTTACAGGTACTGCACTGAGGGTTGTCATTCTGTTATACCGTCAGGGGTTAATACTTCATCAGTGAGGGCCTGGGGGGAAGAAGTCTGGTTGTTTTGGTGTATAGTGACCTGTAGCAGAGGGGAGGAGTTCAAACCGTCCAAATCTTATCTGCCCTTCTTACTGTGAACCAGGGCTTATTGTTATTGTATATGCAGAAGGTCTTGATGGGCACACACACGTCCTCACAAAAGCTGATGTATAATGTCAGTGTCAATGAGTTCATCCAGGTCTGTAGATACAGCCTCAAATACACTCTAATCTGTGCAGTCAAAGCAGGCCTGCAGCTCTGACTTTTGCCTGCTCGGTCCATCTCTTCACTGTTTGCTTCTGCCTGTAGGTTGGAATGAGATGGACCATGCAGTGATCAGAGAGACCAAGGGCTGCACGAAGGACAGAGCAATAGACGTGTTTTATTACCGAGTAGCAGTGGTCCAATGTGTTTTTGTCCCTAGTGGGACACTTGACATGATATCTGTGTTTGGGGAGTTCATAAGTGAAACTTGTTTTGTTAAAATCCCCTGAAACAACTGGTGGGGACTCGGGATGCTTCAGTTCTGTGCCAGATATCTGTTTGGCCAGGTATTGTACTGTGCTAGTGTGGGCCTGTGATCTTAGAGACTCTTTTCATCAACTGCAAACTGTTTTATTCACCCGGAGAATTTTCATCATTCATTCTGGTCAGATTGTATATAAGTCTGTGTTGCAAGTTCTTTCTAACACTGTGACATCTTTACGCCACCTTTTTAAACCATCACCTTTTATATCAACGGTATTTAATTTTAGAATAAATATCTATTTTGTTTTTCCCTCCTGTAAACCAGCCTTATCAGCCTTTAACCACCATTGTCAGCTGCTTTCAGAGCAATGTACCGGCACAGTTTACTGTAAAGGTGCAGAATGTTTATTTAACCTGTTAGTCCACATTTAAAGTCATAGTCAGACACCGACAAGCCTACAGTCAGCACTCAGAGGAGGGAGATCATCTGTTCCTACTTAGCTTGGACCCTCATTATCTAAACATCTGTTTCAAGTTCATCTCCCTGTGTACATAAGCATGCACACACATTTGTACATCCGCACGTGTGCACAGTCATGCATTGACTTTCTGCTGGGCAGAAACAAAAGAGAGAGAAGGACAACAGGAAGACAAGAAGAAAGGAAGGGAGTGCAGAAGAAACAAGAGAAGTGTGGCCTTGAGTGTTCTGATAGAGGTGAGTGGGCTGGGCTTCGGGGAGGGTGTTATGGGTGGAAACACTGATGAGTCTCATTCCATCTGGGAGAAGTCATGTGCAGCTCTGATGGAAACACTTAACACACACACACACTGCACCATCACATGGCACAAATCTGAAAATATGCCAGGATACAGGAGGGAGCAGCAACAACAATGTTGGGACCGGTTGACACACTCACATTCAAATACACATGCCTGACCTGTAAACAAACAAACAGCTCCCAATACACAATGCTTCTCAGCTGAGACAAGCATAGGCCCCAGCCACGCCGAGTCTATCAGCTACTAAAGGTCTCCTGCTCATTTGTTTCAGGAACACAACCCTACATCACTTCATTCTCCAAATATCAGTTATATAACCACAGAGACTTTTTGCAATTTCAGCTCTATAATATGGAACCGACTGCAGAGTGCTGTGAGAAAAAAGACATATATTGGCCTCAAATTAATAAGCATATGAATTATCCTCGTCTTCTTGATGACAATATGCAATATAGTGACGATAGAGGCTATAGAGGCGTATTTTAATTCCTCTACTCTGAATGTTTAGCAACTCAAACACTGAAACATAAGAAGTTAAATATTTAATGATTTATGTTGTTTGTCATTTTCTTTACCCTGCAGTCCTACATTTTTTCCCAGGTGGCCTGATCAAAATGTAGTGCTTTAAATGCACTATAAATGTAATATACACTGACCATTTTTTTACTTGGTCATGCACACATGTACAGCACACAGTGTGAACATGAAGTCAGTCTCTGTGGCAACAGATGACCAACAAATCTAAGTTTAGCATGACAAAGCACCCAAACACTTTTTGTTTTTTCTTCATGATTCCCATTTCGTTCTTTACTAGTTCAGATTAGCCCCTATGTCCAGAAGGTGATAACAAAGATGACAGTCATGATGGTTTGTACTACTGACTACCAAATGATCACAGTGTTGCCCATGTCTCAAATGTAACTATCAACATTATATTAATCTATGTTCTCCTCCATTAATCAGCCAGAATCTGTCTTTTTCTGCTTCCTGATCATTGTGTGTGTGAGTGTGTCTCACCGTGAGGGAGGTGAAGGTCAGGCAGATGCCTCCAAAGCCGTTCAGAGAGAGAGCCAAGAAGATGAGCGCTGACAGAACTGCAGAGAAGAGAAACACAGAAGAAGACTTGAAGCCAAAACTGGTCTTGCATAAATTGGTAAAACAATTAGTTCCCTAAATCCCAGCACTAGAAATTTGTTATTATGAGTCCATGTACTCTTTATTGTTAACTCACCCTTTAATTGTCTTGATATCTAACATGTCTTATTGTATGTTCATTTATACTCACCAGGAGGATTGCATGCACACGCTGCCATCATCATGCAGGACAGACCAAAACATGAACTGCAAAGAAAAAGGAAACAACAAGGACTTTTTAATTTTTGTATACAATACCACAGTGGCGCAGTGGTTAGCACTGCTGCTTCACAACAAGAAGGTTCTGGGTCTGAACGTCACAGCTGATCTGGGCCTGTGTGCGGAGACTGTGTTCTCCCTGTGTGTGCGTGGGTTTTCTCGGGGTACTCTGCCTTCCTCATGGGGACTAGATGCTGGCCCCCACACTGTGATTCTAGGGTGACAACTTGGTTTAAGGTAGGAGAAGTCTCTAGGAAATAAATCTAAGTCAATGTAAAGTCCACATGAGAAATGAAAACAAATGTGTGTGTGCGTGTGTATGTAAGAGAAGACTGTTTCAAACAATTTACTGTGTCTATTTGTCCATCTGTGAAGATAGTGCTGACAGTGGTGAGTGTTTATACACCCAGAGTAAAGGAATTTCACTACTAATGTAGTATATGCACACAATGTGCACACATACTCTAGTGCCCCACCTACAATAATTGATTTACCTGATTTACACTCAAGTGACCTAGGGCCCTATCTTGCACAAAACGCATGGCGTGGTTAGAGCATCTGTGTTTCCTAACTTCCTACTGTCAGGTTTGCCTGGCTGCACCTCCCTGTCTTTGTTTTTTGTTTCCTGATTACACCACATTGCACACCTGCCACACATTCCTTAATTAACACCAGCTGCATTCACTTAGTCCTTCCCGTTCATCACCACTCTTATGCCGACAACCAGCGCTATCTTTTTCTCTTCTTTGTGTTTCCTTTGTGCCACTAGTTTGTCTTTGTCGGATTATTACCTGTTTACCCCATCAGAACCTAGCTATTCTCTACCTGCTCCTCCTCACCACCGCAGCCACGGGCACCCAGTCCTACAGGCTACCACCACTCACCACCGTCATCTACTCTGTCTCCTCAGCCTGTTCCACCTCCATTGGCCGGCCAGTGAGTGACCCCTCTGTTCCGCAGCTCGGCCCCCCTCTTCTCCTCTGTAACTATCTCCATACTGATCTACCCTTGGTCCCACAGTCTGTCTTATCATATACTTAATCCTCACTGCCATTGTAAATAGTTGTACAACACTTAATAAATATGCTTGCACCGACGTCAGCCCTCTGGGTCCGGTTTTCTTCGCACACTCACCTTCCCGTGGGTGTGCGATACTAACACCTACCAGCATAATTATCGTTTTCATGACATGTGCATCACATTGCCTTTTTACCAAGCAGCGGCTTCACACCGGCAACTGTATCCGGATGAAAATGGGATGGGTGTTTATCTCTAGTCTCCCTCCTTCCCCTGTGAAAATGTGATCTGTCTACTTTTTTTTTTATTTAACCACACTCTCAGTAGTACACAAGGAATTGACATCTGTTCAGCTTTCACTCATTACATAGATGTGTTTCCACCAGAAATTACTTAGTATTTTTTCATTCCCAGGAACTAAAGTCCAAGAACTTTCCCTTGGGAAAAAGCCTCTCGAACGCATTGTGATCTGGTTTTCCACAGCAGGGCTGAAGCCCTGGTGTTTGAGCAATCAGCAACGTTCAGCAGTGCACAGCTTTAAACTTTCATGAATCAATCGACACATTTTCACAAAGCTAATCTGCATCTAAAAAACAAGGTTTAGATTTCTGTGAATTATGCTGAACAATAACCAGATGTGCCAGAAACACAGCAACCCCACAGATGCACAGCACATTCTTTTACAAATCTGACATGTCTATGAATATTTTAGAACCATTACCTCCCCACCAGGCGAAGTGGGCGTGGCCCAAACTTATCCATCAGAATACCGAGTGGTAGGGTGGCGGCGCTGAGCAAGAAGGAGCCAATGGTGAAACCCAGATTCAGCATCTCCTCCTGGTCCACGCAGCTGAGCCACTTGTGCGCCTCGCCACTGGAGGAGTTGCCCAAGGATACGACCATGGAGTCATTATCTGTGGACTCGTGCGCCTCGCCACTGGAGGAGTTGCCCAAGGATACGACCATGGAGTCATTCTCTGTGGAAACAAACAAGGTGGGATAATAAGAGTGGTGGATGATAAAAGTGTGCACACAGAGAAAGGGCAACGAAACATGTTTTGAGTTTTATGGTAGTTGCGTCATATGTCTGATGTCAGAGCCTCCAATAGTGGGTCCAACTCCCTGTTATGAAGTAACTATTCAAAATAATTCGAATAGATCTATTTGGGATCTGTGAAGGATCATGATGCATAAAACATGTTGTCAGTATCAATCACAGATAGAGAACAAATCCAGTGTAACCAAATCCATCCACAATGAAAATCCAAAACAGGATGAATGGACCCTTTTCTGTCGGAGATATCCGTCATCAATTCAAAAATCACATTTAGACGATTTAATTCTCATAATGTTGTGAAAAATAATTAGGTATCAACATATTAAACCAACTTTAAGTATGTCGTTTGTGTCTCCATGACTCCAAACAGAAAGTGAAGGGTCAGTGATGCTGACCTGAGCATAGGTGGGAGTAGAAGCCTTCCCTTTTCAGCATGATGAGCAGGGAGCCCCAGCCCAGCAGGACAGCCGAACACAGCAGATTTTCAATCACCGCCGTCACTGCCATCCACCAGCGTCTCCTGTAGGCCTGGACGAGAGACAGTGCCATCGCTGCTCCTCTGTAATGGAGGAGTGACAAGGAGGGAGGAGGGACAGTGGTGGATAGATAATGAGGACAAGGCAATTACAAGGTAAATGGACTTACACTTGTATAGCCCCTTTCTATGCACTGAAGCACACTCAAAGCACTTACTGTACACATTATTAACCCATTCACCCATTCGTACACCAGTGGGAGCAACTCAGGGTTCAGTGCAGGGGTGGCCAACCAGTCAGAGACCAAGAGCCACATTTTTTACTGTGTTACCGCAAAGAGCCACATCATACACATGCACACACATAAACATCACCCATCCCTTCCTCTCACACACACACTGCTCAGCCAGATTTATTGTAAATGCCACACACCAACATGATAATGACAGAAATGGACTCCTACAGTACTAAGACCACAGGCCAGTCATTTTCAACAATGAACATTGTGTGCACTGTCTCACACACACAAACTCTCAGTTCAACCAAGTCCACAAACAAAAATCTAATAATTTACAATAGCGTTTTTCTTGTACTATGCATGTTGCTTAGTGGGACTTCTGGCATTCCTTGCCTTGAACAATCCTCTTCAAATCTGGCTTGTATTCCGTTGTTGCCACTCGAAGCAATTCCTTCACATGGGTGTCAGTCAGAACACACTGATGCTTTGATTTCACGTGTTTCAGGGTAGAAAACACAGACTCGCAGACGTA